CGTCATACTGCTCATTGAATGACATTTTATAATGAAATTATAAACATAGTGTTGTAATTGAACTAAACGAGCCGAGCTTGGACATTTCAAGCCTGTGTTTGTTTATGTTCGCACATTGTTCGTGTTTGTTCGTTTATTTTTCGAACGAAAAATGTTCGAGCTCGTTCGTTTAATTATTCGTTAGAGTTCGAGTTCGAGTTCGTTCGTATTCAAAAAATTTAGTAAACAAACTTTTTCAAAATTGTTTGATTAACTCAAAATTTATTCGTTCAACTAGTTGGAGCTCAAAAATAAAAAATAAAATATAAATTTTTATATTTTATTTTTTATTAAAAATATCATATAAATATATAAAAATAAAATAAAATTATTAAGTTAATGTTCGCGAACATTATCAAACATTTACGAACAAGCTCGTGTTCGCTCGATTATTAAATGAACCTAATTTTCTGTTCGAACTTGGCTCAGTTAACAAAAGAACGAGCTCTTGTCGAACACAGACGAGCTCCAACGAGCTTTTGTATGCAAACGTTCAGTTAGTTAATAACCCTACCGTCCCTACATACACATTTATAAAAATAGTATGTTGATTCAATTGTTAGGCTGGCCTAACAAAAAACTATATTACATGAAAACATATGAAGCTCAACCAAAACCAGCTGGTCAAACATTTAAGTCTAGCACTGATTCATTAACTGGGTACACCTATTTAGATTTTCCAGCATTAGATGCATATAGAGGCATACCTGCAATTAGCTGCACACTTCACCAATTTTACCTGCATAAAGGTATTTAGCATTGATTGAAGTGAATCAGTGTACAATAGTAGGGTATGCTCTTGCTCCCAACTAATGTTCAGTTCAAGTCCGGTCAAAATATGAAATGCAAGAACACGAAAAATTTGTTTACTCTCATGGCCATGGGTGATCCTACCTATGTATTAGCTTTTCATTTTCGCATTTTATTATTTTTGTGTCCTAACGGCTCAAATCCATTTCATACTATAATAAAAACTAGTGTAAAATAAGTAGCTAAAATACTAATATAACACGACCTCCTAAAAAACCCAATCTCCTAAAAACTCACTCTATATATATACTAATAGGGTACATGACTAATAGCTCACACGATGGTTTAAAACTAATCACAACTCTAGTAAGAAATACTATTTGACTATGGTCTCAAGTAGAATAACACAAAAGTAGCATCCAAAAGGAAATTTCAGTACAATGTTACTGTTTTATAAAGATAAAATCAAGATGTAAGAGCATAAACTGTTATTCCTGTTCATCTAAATGCCCGAAGAGTTTCTGCCAATGGTATCTCGCCTCCTTTGGGGACCGAAAGGACCATATATGAGGAACAGATTTCTCACGAGTCTTCAAAATTTCCTACATTTGTAGGGAAATAAAAACAAATTTTTAAGATCAAAACCAAAAGGCAATATATAGAAAACACATGGTCGTCCCTCATTCCTTTCCTTGCAAATAAGGTTATGAGACTAGTCGGGGATCCACTGTCATCAAAAAGTTAATACATAAGGAAAAAAATTATACCAACCTAAACTTTTCATGTATTTTGGGTTAGCAACCTAAACTTACATTTTGATAATTCCCAATATAAACTACACGGTATTGATAAAGACGTTCTTGCCCCATCCGAAATACATAAAAAAGCCGGAACACCCTTCCAAATGGGTGCAAATGGTATTCCTAATGGCACTTTGGTCATTTCGCATGAAAAACAGTGGGATAAATTGATGTTCACATGTCAACATGACCATTGTTTTTCAAGCACGGCGTTTCTTTTCTCCACCCCAAATTGGGTGGAGGCAAAGTGGTGAGTTCGTTGTGAAGAAAATGCTTTTCTTTGAGTTGTATGCTCAGTGAAAACCAATAAAAAAGGGGAGTATCCGTTGTCAAAATGGGGGACACAAGTTAGAATCCTCTCCAAGTGAATCAAAAATCTCACATAGTACTTTCATTTGATCTGTGAGAAAAATTTAAAATGTATTTGTTCTTTCCGTAACAAGACCAAGTGAAAAAAATAGTATACAAGGTATTTTGATGAATATAATTAAATACACAATAAAACATCAAAGTTGGGCACTACTAAATCATTTTATATTTTTTTTTAATCCCGATTGATAAATTGGTGACACAAACCCCATTTTTCCTGGGAAGCTATTTCCAAGAAACATGGCATGCGCCATGTAGAATTGATAAAAATAAATGACAGCCGTTAGAGAGTATTTTAGATATATAAGAAGGCAGAATTATTAAAAAGAAATAAAAAACCTAACAGAGTATTCAAGATATATAAGAAGGCTGTTTGTTACAGTTAAACTGGTGCACATATCAAGAACACAGACTAAAGAGCAACGGTCACACCTCTACTGGAGCAGTCCTCAACAGATATATTAATCTATATTAAGTCTCCTGATGGCTAGATAGCACTCAAAAATTATTCTAAAAACTCCTTAGTAAAAAGAAGATATGTCAAACTTGAAAAACATCAGTCAAGGTACATGCAAATTTCAATTTATCCCACTATTTTTCATGCGAAATGATCAAAGTGCCATTAAGAACACCACCTGCGGTCAATTGGAAGGGTTTTCCGGCTGATATTTGTTTTTCGATGGGGCAAGGTTGTTCTTTATCAACACCATCTAGTTTAGGTCAAGACTTATCAAAATGTCAATATTAAGTTTCAAACCCAAAATGCAGGAAACGTTCAAGTTGGTATAAATTTTTTTCCGTAATATATATGCCATTCAAGTAACAGCCTCAAACTTTGTGAAATTTGATAACAGTTTGGCCAATTTCTTTTTTATACACGATTTGAGAAAAAGAATAAAATATAAATGATATGAGAAAAGAGCTTCTAAAGTCAAATAATTAAACTCAGTACCCAAGGTTCCAGGCTTTCAGCCATGGAAAATAATTACAATACTCAATCTTATGCCATAATTGTTCAAGTGATCAGAAAATTGGGCATTTTAATTATACCAAATAGAGTTACATGTACACTCAGCTAGCAAAAGCATCTCTAATCATCCCCTTCTCGTTTCTTCTCTCTCTTGATACGAAGCTTAAAAATATGTAACAATTCCAGGAATTACATGTAATCTAAGTCAATAATTCAAATTCCATTATGCTGCAAGATTATAACCAATGAAGTTAACAATCTGATATAATCAACATGAAACTTCCTTTCAGTGAATAAAACTCGTTATAATGGAGAAAATAGTGGTCGGTCTTTCACTATCTAGACATGTAATCTCGTAGAATAATTCGAAACACCTTACTACTGCTATAACTAAAAACTAGACCCACTTGTACAAAATATTACACACATATTCGATCAAAAAACAAACTAGTACCACCGATGGAAAAAAAAAA